TTGCTGTCTTGCTTCCTCTTCCCTTTAATACACAAGCCTTTGGACTTCAGAAGAGACTCCTTCTTTCCTCCCACGTTCTGCCCTTGGTTACCTAACATGGACCACAACTTGGGCAGACCAAAGGCTAGGCATAGATAGCTGCAACTTCAGCCACCCTATCTAGAGCTATAGGGTAGGTACTCTTTGAAACAAGTCAACTATCCACATTCAATGGTGCTCCAGCTTTTCCAGCACCTTGCTAGACCTCCTAGAACCCATAACACACCTTAAAGGCCCGAGAGATTAGGTAGGGAACCAATACATGTGAAATGCACCTTGAAAAACGCATGGAAAAACGACACAGCACGTCTGGCGACCGGTCGCACGTTCCTAGCGACCGGTCGCATTGCAACCTGTCTGAAAGCGACCGGTCACTTGCACCTTGCGACCGGTCGCTGGTCACGATTTCCAGCTTCTCCTCCAGACTTCGAATCTGCTCAAAACGACCGGTCGCAAATACCCAGCGACCGGTCGCTTCCTCCTTCACTTGCATACTTAATGTGAGCCATTTTTCCAACACCTATAAGCCTGCCCTCATTGAAAACTCTGTCCCTAACAAAAGTTACACTCGAACCCTCGTCTGTTATCTCCTCATTGATTTCAGGCTGCCCTTGCATTCAGTATTTGTCCTTAACTTCATCTTCTTCCTCCAAGTCCAACTATTATAATATATCCATGCAGACCCTTCTTGATGCAAAGTCTTTAACTTCCTTGAATCTAGAGTTCGTCGTAATAACAGATGACAGTAATAATGATCCTCCTATAGCCCGCCTTCCCTATTTGGAAACAGTGTCCCTCACAACTGTGGACATTAATTACGGGACTTTCGCCCAATTAATTTCAAGTAGCCCTTCCATTGAGCATTTGTCAGTATCTATACGTTTCCCTCATTCTTATAATTATATTCTACCTTCCTCCAGTCTCAAATCCTTTGAAGTTAGAATTTTCAATTCAGACGTGGTTCAAGTCAGTGGAGCTGAGAGTCTTGAATCTTGTACCTTGGTTTTAGAATCTCCAAAGCAGATTAAGCGTATACGGTTGGATCGTTGCAAAAACTTGAAACATTTGAGCATTCGTGCTCCGCAGCTTCCAAACTTTACACTACAACTGCATGGTTGCAAACATCTTGTGAATGCCTCACTTGATATTCCAAAGTTGGATTGGACTGGAATCAACTCCAATGTTGAATGGATACATTTGTAAACTATAATGACTACACATGATAGAACACACATCAAGGCTATACAAGAGCACATCTCCTCAATCCGATCCCTTCATACACTCATTCTAGATGGGGTGAATTCTTTTGTGTGGGTTGGCTTGATCGGTTGAGCAGGGGCACTTGTATTTTATATGCATTTGCTTAGGAGTCTCTCCCATCAAGAAAAAACTCTTGAGCAATCCTTATTGCATTAGGAAATAAAAACCCTAGTCCATATTAATTAGGAATCCCTTTGGCCCATGTATTTAACTTAAACACTTGTACAAAGGCTACGGGCCGAGTAGTAATTGAGTCCTTGATCAATATTGAGCCCAAGACAACCCTATGATGATTAGAAGACCACTTAAGTAGGTAATTAGAATAATCTAACGTCTTACAACATTTTGATTCACTGGCAAATTATCTTGGAAAATTTCTAAGTTTCAAGAATATATCGCTATATGTTGATGATGCTGAGGTGAGTCTACAATATCCATTGCATGCTTATATGCTTTGATAGATTTTGATTTTGTAATTTTTTGTATTCTATTCCAACTTGTGCTGCAATTAATTCTTCCACACTGATCATGATTTCCCTTTTGAATCTTGTTTGTGCATGTTGTAGGCTCTTATCTTCCCAAAAAATATGAGAAAGTTCTGCCATCCACCATTACGTACTGTCAACAGTACTCTTACTGTATTCATCAGTTCTCCAAGAGGTGCAAAAGATTCTGAGTTGAGGCAGTCCTTGTTTTGGTTGGGACCCGAGTCTCTATCAATAATATACTCTGAATCTCCAAGAGGTGCAAAAGATTCTGAGTTGAGGCAGTCCTTGTTTTGGTTGGGACCCGAGTCTCTATCAATAATATACTCTGACCTTTAGTCCCAGCACAGTTAAGGAAAGAGGGTGCGGTAATGGGCTAGGAATAATACCTTAAGAGCATCAGCAATGGAAGAAGTGTATATATTTAACCCTATACATATAATATGTATGATGGTAAGTATGATGATTGATGCAGAACAGATGGCGGAAGTAATTGAAGAGGATCTAAAGCGAAGCGCACACAAGGGCAAATTAGGTAAATTGCAGATTTGGGCTTCGAACTCAGAATCGGGCCCATGACCCGTCGATTTAAAAGGAACGGCATCACGAGTAAAATTCATTGCTTTTCTATGATGTATGGGCTCTTCGGGCATCCGAGAACTTTTAGTAACTCGAAATCCAGTTTTAAAGTTTTTACAGTTTTTGGAAACTTTGTTATTTTCCTATTTTAATTCCTTTGTTATTCCTAGTGTTTCTAGGAGTATTTAAGCATACTTTACTCGTGGTTAGGGTTATGTTTTGTTATTCCAGTTTTATCAATAAACCTTGAAGTTTCCTCATATCTTCCTAGTGGATTCCAGAGTTACATTTTTTAGGCTAAGGTTTTTAGCTGATCAATTGTCACGCTGCATCAATGATGATGTCTTAATGTTTGTTTTTGTAATTAATATAAGGCTTAATTACATCACTGCCCCATTAAACTTCGGTCAAATCCCACTTTGCCCTCCAAACTCAAAATGACCAACTTTCATTCCTTGACCGAGGTTTGGTGACCCACTTTGCCCCATGCCATCAACTCCATACAAATGTGGATTGTATTCGATGTACTGATGATCCCGTGAAGGCCACACTTCATCTTTCAAATTTGGATTGTGTTCGATGTACTGTTTTTCAGACATGGGGACCTTTTTCTACTCTGACAGATTATCTAGAAAACTTTGATTGTTTCAAGGAATTATCGCTATACGTTGAGGGATGTTGAGGTGGGTCTACATCCATTGATCATGATCGTTTTTCAGTTAGTACGTATATATTTTATTCCAGCTTGTGCAATTAATTGTTCCAATTCTGAATTTTGTAGGCTTTCATCTTCCCAAAACAATTGAGAAGGACCTGGCCTCCACCATTACCTAATGTCAAAACTCTTAACGTAATCAATATCAATTCTATAAAAAGTGCAAAACATTGTAACTTGAGGCACTCTTTATTTTGGTTGGCACCTTGTGCGGAGTTTCTATCAATGAAGTACAGGAGGAAAGTTCTTTAAAGGTACACTCTTGTATGCTGGTATACAAGAAAACTCAGCATCCCAGTTTTTCTAAGTTTTAATATCATGTTGAGTTTGTTTTAGTGCTCCCGAAGACACATTGCAATGTTCTTGTTTCAATAATTTCTCTCCTTTTCAAATAATGTGAATACTTTTTTTTTTTTTTTGAGAAATTCTAGGATTGCATTCATAATTCAGCCAAAAAAGCCATTAGCCACAAGGGGCCAAAACAAACTAGCCACAAAGGGCGATTACAATAACGGAGCGGTCTAACATCAAAATTAAGACAATCTGGTGCGCCTCCACTAACGATCACGCATGATCGAATAAACTCTGGCATAGGCATCCCAACTAAGATTGCAAACTCAGAATAATAAAAAATAAATAAAGCTTGAAAAAACCAAGCCATAACAATACAAATAAAACTCTCACAAAGGAGAGATAAAAAGCTCTCACAAAGGAGAAGTGAAAGACTCTCACAAAAGGAGAGGTGAAAACTACCTAGAGAACCCAGAGTCTCTGTGACTTATTCCGAACATAAAGAAACCGCAAAAAGGATGGTGGTGGAGATCCGACGCCGAAACGCAGATGGAGATCTGATGTCGAAACTTAGGTGGAGATCCGACGCTGAGACGCAGTCGCCTATGATGGTTGGAGGAAAATCATAACAAAGTGAAGAGGGGAGAGGAGAGGAAGAACAATGGCTTCCTCCCCCCTCAAAGTGAAAACGACTCTAGGAGGGGTTTTTTTGGGAGAGAGGGGGCTAGGGTTTTTTCTTGAAATTGATAAATAATGTGAATACATTTACTCTTCTCTTGAATTAATTCGTGAGATTTGCGATCCCATTGGAGGTCCTCCAAATCCCCTATATTTATTTACGTATTTTTTGAATAAATAGAATGTTAATTAACATTAGTTTTCCCCCTTCATGATCTAAGGTTGTTGGCTAATCCCTTCACTGTATGGCCAAGTTAGTTGCTTTTGTACTTTTGTGCACGAAACAGGAAGAACTTTTAAAGTTTGTTGAAAACAAGATTAGCTATTTAACCAATGTAAGAGAAGCATCATAATATACCATGGGATCCGGATCCTCTGCTCTATAATTTTCTCTGCCATGATCTGCTTTACTTTTATTCTCCATACGCCACCTCATTAAAATTTAATCTAAGAGATTTAAAAGTTAACACATCATCCTAAAACAAAAATCCAATTTACTCCTAATTAAATATTTAAAAAAAAACCCCTAACACCCAACTAACGGGATAATTAATGTCCAAAAGCAGTTGTTTTTTTCTTTCTACTTCTTCTTCTTCTTCACTTTTGTCCTCTTCTCTCTTTTCCTCCTCGCTACACGTTCCGTCCTCTTCTCCTTTTTGCTTCACCTTCTTGCTCCACCATCACAAAGCAATAAGCAATAAGCATCACTACGAAAATCCATATTGAAAACAAAACCATCTTTGACAACCCATACGCCATAACAAAACCCAACATAAATTATGGGATTTGGTTGGGGGGAGGCAAAATGGGATTTGACCTTACCAAAGTTTCAGGGGCATTGGTGGTGTAATTAAGCCTTAATATAATTTCTTTTGACTTAACTCTTATGTAATAAAGCTTGTGGTGCAGGAAAGAAAAGGCCATTTGGAAAGTTTGGGTTTTTTGGGTGACAAGGATTCGGAGATGCCATGTGAGTTGAGATGATGATTTGTTTTGGTAACAAGAGAGCATTAGGGGGGTGTATTCAATTGAGATTTTAAAAGACTATTTAGGGATATAAAAAAGTCTAGTGGATTTAACCAGAATATAATGATTTATATGATTTATTTATAGATTTATATAGTAAAGATTTTTTACTTAAGGATTTTAAAGATTTCTATAATAGAATTTATTAGATTTGAAAGGACCACATGGATTTTTTTTTGGGTTCGACATAATATTTTTTCAGAAGAAATTGACCCGTAAAAATTAAAAGCTAATATTATTTCATTATTTGTATGTCTTTCTCAATACAAAAATAAGAAATAAAATTATTTCTTCAACTTTCGAACTCTTGCTGCCCCGTCCCAGCATCTCGCGCTAGCATACAGGTTTGCCAATTGCACATGGGTAGAACCACACTCTGGCTCCAATTGCACAGGTTTGCCACGCTATTTGCAGCCTCAATGCCAATCCACACACTTCCATGGGAAAGAAAAAAAAAACATAAAACCTATCCTAGCTGACGTGGATAGCTCTAATCCATTGGATCCATCTGTACTAGGGTTTATGTTGCGATAATTATGTAATTAGTAATTAGTTGATTTCTTACCTTAGAAGGATTCCTAGTGATTCTAGAATTGTTGTAAATAATTCCATGTAATTACGGTGTTAGGGTTGTAATTACGGTGTTATGATCACCCATGTATATAAAGCCATAAGAAACTTATTAGGTTAACAGAAAAATCGTTTATGGCTACCAGGAAAATCCCCCAAATCACCCAAACACAAACAAGAATAATCTGAAGGGAAAGCAAAACTCCATGGCCACCGCCACAATACCTCACTTACCTGACCTTGCCAAATTATTTTACCTCAAATTTTTTGTTGTTGTGATAAATACCTCGAAGTGTCCCCACACTTGAAGAGTGGAATTAATCCCCTTTCATTCTTTTACCTCTTTGTGGCCTCCCTTTCCATTATAGTCTGTGCAGTCGAACAAGATAATATTAGAAATAACAAAGCTGACTAATGAACAAGTTGTAATTACAATTCAGAAATAATAATGAAAATATTCGAAGATGCTTCTAATGATGATTATGAACAAAATGATACTTGACTTCTCTAATTAATGGGGAGAGATAAAAAATCTGTGTGAAAATGATTTAATATATGAAAAAGAAATTATAAATCCTCATGCACACCCATAAATAAAA